ACATATAATTTACTAGGGAGCAGGAAAAAGAGTCGTTGAATAGAACTAGTGATCCGTCTACGACTGGTGATTCTTCTACAATTAGCGTCGCAATTTACGAAGTTTAACTTCTTCCGCGTGGAGGGACTCCACGCACTTTTTTTTATTTTTTATTTACTTCATTTTTTGAAAAAAATCTCATGAAAAACTTTTAGAAATTAATATTTTATGCTTTTTTTTAACTATTAATTTTGTTTTAGAAACAATAGCTGTAATATTATTGATTTGATTTTCATATTTTTTATGTACTGATAAAGTTATTACATGTTATCAATAAAATTTTATTACGATTTAGTCAAATATTCTGTCCAATATTTATTGCGTTAAATTATTATTTTTCTCCGTCTTTTTTTACCGAAGCAATTTGGTAATGATCGTGGTCAAATTAACAAGTTTATCAGGAACCTGAAGAATTAATGAATAAATTTCATAAGCAATTGTGAACATATTGGTTAATGAAATATTATTAATCATTTTCAAAATACTTTGTGAATGAATGAAAAGTAAAGTATTTTCACCATATCGTTTTATCAGTATTTGTCTTGGATGTGGTTTATAGTCTTGTTCTAAATGTAATTTTAGTTCAAGCATAAATTGAAAGTAAATGAAATGAAACATAGTTTTTATTGAAATAAAAACAAAAAAGAAAGAAAATAAACGCTGAAAATAGTTATCGCAGAAGCATACTTCTCCTTGTTGAGTTAGGTTATTTTTGTTCGATGCGAATGAATACTAAAATTTTTCATAAATGCATATATCCTTTTCTTAATTCATTCTTTTTATTCTTATAAGAAAAAAAAACATTGTTTTTTTCATGCATTTCAATTAAATAATTTCATAAAAATGACGGAAATATTAAGCCAAACTATATCATTAATTAAATATAAATTTATTTACAGATTTCGAAAATCATAACTGGTTAAAAATTTCCCGAATTTCCGAACCCCTGTCGTCCTTCTAAGGAACTCTAGGGTTCCTCGGAACACCATTCGGAAACAGCTGCTTTAGAGCACGGTATAAAAACCGTTTTTTCGGTTAAGTTTATTTTTTGCATTTTTTACTAAATGTGCGAAAATAAGAACTGTAAATTAGAAAAACAAAATTTTCAGTAAACCGATACCAAATGAACCGAAACCTTACCAAATGACTGGTTTAAATACCGTATATTTTGGTCATAAACACCGTAATAAAAATTCTTTTTTTTACCAGAAATTTTATTACGATACAGTACCGTAATTTTTCCGGTATTTTTTTTTCTCCGAAAAGCCAAATAATAGTTTGAACATATCAGTAATTTGTGCCCTTATTTAATAAAAAACAAATAAGTTCTTGATTAGAAATATTGAGAATCTTTATTAGATTTAGAATCTTGATTAGATTTTTATGCAATCATTTACAAAATATTTTTTCAAAACAATATTAATATCAAAATTAATTTTTAGGAAAATACTTCATAATTTCTTCCAAAGAAAATTTATTAACTTCCTGAATCTCCTATCAAAATCTCCAGTTAATTTCTCTGGTGGAATTACTGTCTTAACATTTCCTCTTAATTCTTTCATATTTGCTCCCCCACAAAATAAAATATTAACCACAATTCTGAAGTGCTTCTGCGAAATTAACTCCAGAACACATAGTACAGCTGCTGACTTTCCCCTGTGACCTTCTGCCATGGGTCACATACTCTCCGCCTCCACTCTCCACAAGTCATTCCAGAAAGGGCGCTTAGGGGTGTCCCAGCCCTGCCCAGAAGGCATTGATGGAGATTATTCGGGTAGGCAAAATGAATACCGAAAGGTGGGACAGACCAATTGAAAGAAAACGAAGGCAGTTTGTCTGATTTTAGCTTCTTTTATCAAAGCAAGTTATTTAGTACTTGTTGGGAAAAGGAAACTACTTCCCACATTTTTCGAGATGTATATCGATATTTCTTGGGGCTGTTTTCAGTTGAAGTATGTGTCCCAGAACTTCTAAAAATCTAGGCTGATTATTGTATTGTTTACTTGATGGTCGATTTCTGAAAGGTTGTCTTTTGATTTGTTGGAAAGAGATGTGACAACAGGACAATCGAATTTTTGTTACACTCGTCTTTATTAAATGATGGATTTGATATCGGTTGTTCCAGACAACTTGGAGTAAAAAAATAGCGAAACACACACGCATATTATATATAAATATCTATATATATATATATATACACACACATTATACATTACTTACATTATAATACATGATACATTACTTAAAGTAAATATTCTGATAAATTTAATATTGCTGATTATACTTCTGTTTTTTTTTTCAAACTAAATTTAAACATTTTTAACTTTCTTGAACTCTATTGTAACTCGCTTCTTTTGTACAGCCACGATTTTTATTGATAGATACTTAATGAATTTTATGTACGTACAAATTATGCATTTTAAATCACATCTTACTTATTTTTAATTATAAATTAAACTAATAAAATTAACTTTTCAATAACTTTAAAAAATGTGATATTGAACTTTTTAGAGTGAAAGTGTCACTATAGCATCCATTTTTCTTAAAGTTTCATGAACAAGCGTATTAGATAGACGCTAAGAAAGTGGGGCTATATAATGGTAGGCAATATTTTCAAAGTGAGTTTTTGGTAATCAACACCACGCTTTCCATGTAGACAATATAGTGTTTATGTGTGTATTGTGCTATTTGTTAAGAATAGATTTCAGAAATTTGTACGCTACCCGTCTGGGATGAAACCTAATAAGTTTTTTTTAAAGCAAGAACGTTGATTATTAAGTTTAAACCTCTAGCTCTTCAATTGCAATTCGAAGCATTATTACTTAGAATTATTTAGATATTTTTTAATTAGAACTTACTCTATGGCAAAAAGAACATGCTGTTTGACAATTTTTAATTTTTTTCACCACATTCCGTCTTTAACCCCTTAACAGTGACATATATTTCAGAAAAATGTATCAAAAACGGAAAATTGTTTCGACTGTTTAATTTTGCTCTTTATATTAGTATAAGAGTTAGAAAATGGTTTTTTATTACAAAAATATAATTTTAAATGCAATAACTACTGTATTTGAAATTTTTACATACACATAAAAAGATAATGGATTACACACACATCTTATTCAATTAGAGCAAATTAAACAATATTCTGAAGCTAAATGTAATATAACTAGTATAATTTAATGTAAAAACACAACAATATGATTTCGAATACATTTGTTTTACAGATGTTTTACAGTATGGTATATCCCAAAAACAACACCCACATTTCCCTCCCTCGACTGAAGTCGACCACTAATGCCATCTATTAGGAAAATAGTGAATTAAATATCCTAAAGTAGAAACAAATCAGTTCGGGCATCACAAATACTGCAAGTAGTAGTTGCTCGAACTGGATTCGGGCGACACTGGCAAGGGGTTAATCCCAACTATGATTGAGTGATTTGTATTGTGCGCCTGAGCTGCACCAACTATACTGATTCAATAAAATATAGCGAGTGAATATGAGTCAGGATCCTATTGGATAATCGAAATAAAGCGAGAGTTTGATGAGTTTTTTTTTTTTTAAATAAATCATAAACAAACATTATTATTTAACAGCTTATGTTCTCAAATAATTATATATACTTAATAATACAAATTAAATTATCATAAAAGATTAAAATTTTAATTTGCGCTTTAGAAAATAATATTAAACTTTAGATTGATAAAGCTTAGTTACTGAAACATTTCTTGGTTGCATTCTAAACAGCAAAAACTCAGATATAAATTTTAAAAATTTGGAATTAATATTTTTAGTAATATTAACTATTATCTCTTGATTTAACACACAAATAATTAAAAATTACTAACATATTAAAGTATGAAAACTGTATATTTCAGAGTAAATATATTCTCAATCATATAACATTGTTGCACTTTTCTTTGGAAAGATAATCAGATTGTTCTAATGAGATTATGTAAATTTATTTTATAATTAAAAAATACATTTTTACTGTGCTTTGAAACTTAAGCTATTGTTTCAATGTAAAAGTATATGCATTAAAGTTATATTACTTTTTTTTAATAAAATCCTCATTATTTACAGGTTACTTTGTAAATAACTTAAATAGGAAATTTAATTTGCATTTGAGCTTTTAAGATAAATAAACCACTATCATTCACTTCTTTGTATTAAATGGAACTATTTACATTTTGTATTCGAAGTAAAACGCAGTTAATCAAGTTAAATAAGTTAAATTAACATTTAGAAATTGAAAAAAAAAGAAAATAAAAACACAAAGAATATTATCGTATATGTTATCGAAAAGAATATATTCTTTTTTTTTACGTTCTTAAAATCCACCATGATTAGACATTACGAACTATATTATGTGCTTAGCTTTGTTGAATAGTTAACTCCATGATGTATAAAACAGATTTTTTTTATTTATTTATTTTTACAATACGCCAGATTGGCCGCTTTAATGAGATCAGTTCACATTGTTACGCAAATAATGAATTCAGAACTAGTCGAAACCCGTCTTAATTTCTACAGAAAAGAAGATTTCTTTTTGGTGTTAAAACTCGATGTAAGCAAAGATCTTGGCTCATCGGTTGCTACTCCATTTTCATTATCTCGCCAAATTTAGAAATGGAGGAAATGAACAAGTTTAGAAAGGGCTTCGCCATTCTATTGTTCCTTCTGAATATGAATAATTCATTTTATTAAAACTTCTTTTCATGATTCCTATCGTCTTATTTTATTAGATTTTCGCGGTTCTCTTAAAACTCCAGTGTGAAATGCCTTATGATCTGCTAAATAAGTAATGAACTCTGGGTTATTAAATTATGCAAAATCATTTTCCTCTTCTATGCGTTGCTCCATCCAACAATAATAGACGGTTGATTTTTTTTTTCATCATCATACTTCCTTTTATAAGTTGAGAATTATATATTCTTTTTTTTATCTTTCTTTCTAGGATTGCCCCCCAAGACAAGAAAGAATATCCAAGAAAGTAAGACAAATATTAATATTCATAGATTTCGATTTTTTTCCCTCAACCCTCTTATTATTATTCTAATTTTTTAAGCTAAAGTTCATACGAAGACATCAGGCTAGTTATGCTTTTTTTTTCTTGTTATTTCTTTTGTACTTTTTAGGATGTTTAATAAAGAAATTAATCGCTTTTTCTTTGGGAGTAATACTAAGCCATCTAAAAGACAAGCTAAAGTTGCTGAAAAAATTTATTTGGCTGCAAGCGTGGTTTTTAATTATAGTTTGAATCGTTGCTTCTTCTTTTTTTTCCTTTATCGATTTTCTGAAACTTTTGTCGAACCTAGTTATAAAAAAAGGGTAACCCTCATATTGTTTGAAACAAATAAGAATAGTTCCTAACTTTTGTTTTTTTTTTTATAAATTTCGCAATATTACAGAAATTGCTATTGTAAAATAAAATTTTCTCTCAACCATTAAGTCCCAATATATAAGAAAAAATAATTTCATTAAAGTTCGATTTATTAATGTTTATAAAACATATAACACAATGGATGATTATAATTAAACTTGTGCATTTAAAGGACTGAGAAAAAGAGTAATTGATTATAACGATATTTTACATGAGTAAATTTAGAACTATGCAATTGGAATTTGTTCTGCAAAAGAAGAAAAATAGTAAAAAATATGACCGATAGATGGAACTGCACTCGTCATGAGACTTGCTCTGAAATATGTGCTTTGGTAAATTTGAATTTAATGACAAAGTTGACTACTTCTCAGATGTAGTGTAATAAGAACAAGTTTGTCCCCCTCATTTTTATCACAAGTTTAGTGAGTGGAGTGGAGTCACTTAATTTAATTAGCATCCTATAATTAGAATATATTCTAAAAAATGTGACAGCATATTGAGCACAACACCATCTATCGGTCATTTTTGAAATACTTTTATTTTCTTTAGTAAAATGAATTCCCATTATTTACTCGGATTACTCAGATTAAGTATAAGGCCATTCTTCCAAGTGGTTCTTCATTTACTATCTTATGAAAGTTCAATTTTAATTATACTCTTCCCGTATTTTTAAAGTCCTTGTCAAAAGCGAAATTAACAAAATATACCCTTTTGAGTTCTCAAGGTAACTTTAAACAGGAAAAAAATTCTGTCATTATATAAATATATTGAGTATCAAATGAAGAAAAAATTGTAGGAAGAATTTTTAAAAATTCTATTACATATTTCAAACTTTGAAGATATCCTTAAAGAAAGCCTCACAGCTTTAACTATCAATGCCATAAATCAAGTACAACACACATACTCATAAATCCTTCTTTTTTCTTGTTCATTTATATACCTTTTTAGAACGAAAAACTTTAAAAAAAGAAGAAGAAAAATCTAATCATAAATACAATCACAATCAACTAGATGCTGGTTGTTTGTAAAAGTGTCGAAAGAATGCTGAAGCCTACTTTTTGAGACAGATAAAAAAAATAAAAAATAAAAATAGTTCGTAGTAAACAAAATATAGAAGAAGAAAAACTATGAAATCGAATTTCTTGTCACGAAATTCATTTTTAGTTTCTATATTTCTTTTCCTCATCTTCGTCAGACGAGATAAGTATTTCCAATAAAAGTCCTGTCGAAGCCAGACCCATTCTCTTGTTAAGTGGAAAGGATCAAATTCAGAAGACGGAGGCTTGTTTTGTGGGCCCAGCCATTGGCCGAACATTCTCGGAAACGGGGACTGTCAGCTTTAACACCTGACGCCTCTTGCTTTCCGAGAGAAAATCCGATTTAAAAGATTGTTCGTCGTTCCTTTCCCCAGACAGTTATTTCGTCTTTATTTTATTCTTTCGCCCTACTTTTTTTTTTTCATTTGACATATATTGAAAATTTTTATCATCAGAATACTGTTTCAGACTTATAAAGAAAAGGATATCGTAAGTTTAAGTGCTTTCGATTGAACTGAGCTTTGTCTTCAAAGAGATACGTTAATTCCAGGAGCACATATTATGTCTTAACCGATTTTCTTACCTATTTTTTTTAAGAAGAAAAAAAAAAAGCAAAAAAATTTTTTTTTTCTTTTATTAATAAATACAGGGAACTGAAACAAAACATAATGCACAAAATCTAAGTTGAAATTTAAATTTTTTTATGCGTAGAAAATATTTAATTAACCTTCAGTTTACTATCCCAAATGATCTCGGGCAAATGAAAAAAGTTAAATATTTGTCTTTGCATATGTTCAAAAATCATCTGCAATACTTTCAATTTCGGTCGCGAACGCCATTTTTTTTACTCTTTTTTTTTTCTGTGTATGTTCACCAACCATCGCTTATACAATTGTATAAAACACGCCTGCAGTCCCACAAACAGTAAAACTCCCAAACAAAAATTTTCAAACTTCCAATCAAAGCAGATTATTATTGTTTTTTGTTTTGCTTCCATCCGAGTAAGAACGTGAGAAAACAAAACGAATTTTTCTATTCCCGAGTTTACTCGAGATAATCAGGGAAGCTGTTAAAAATTATATTAATAACGATAACTATTAAACCACTCGATACCTTTTTTTTTAAAAATTTCTATAGGAAAAAAATATAATAAATTTCTTTCTTAAAGAATTAGCTTTGAAGATTTCTATTTTTCTTGATTGAAATAAGCACTAAATTTTTTTTTGAGATATTAGTAAACTAAATATTAATTAATACGTAAAATGGCAAGCTTATTAATTACTTTTTCGGCTTTAATTAAATTCTAACCATATTTTTATTTGAATTATAATTAAATTTATAATCAAAAAGCTATTTTGGATTAAAAAGAAAAGATGTAAATTTTTTTTAGCTGGAATAGAGTTCTACTCTCAAAGAGATTAAATGCTAATTCCTGAATTAATTATTTTGTCTTTAATTCCAATGAAAAATTGAACAACTTTTAATTTTTAGTTTATTTCTTGAAGAATGTAATAAGATTTTAATCAATAATTAACAATAATAAATAATTTAATATTGCAAAAATAAAACGAATTATATTCTGTAGAAAACTATTAATATTTAATACGTGGTTGAACTTTTAAAATCTAATTCGAATAAAAAAAAATAGGATAGTTGAAAATTAAAAAAAAATTTATAACAATCAAATTTATTTCTCCCTTATTCAGATAAATTATTATTATCATTAAATTGCAAATGAAAAAAAAAATAAAGAAAATTTATTGATAAACATTGGAACAAAATAAAAAACTTCAAAAGAGCAGAGCTTAAATTTTAAATTTTCATATCCCAGAAATTATAATTTTGGTATATTATTAAATTAAAATTTTAATACTGATATTCTAATTTTTATTTTGCTTANTATATATATATAATGTTGAACATCTAAATAAGAACCTATCCCTAGGTGTCTAAACACCAAACGATTTTAGTGTTTAAACGCGAGGAAGGTTCTTGTTTATAAAACCCAAAGTTGAATATGTCCATTTCTATACTCTATGTGTGTTTTATTTACAGCTGTAATATGTCCATTTCTATAGTGTTTAGAAACTGAGGAAGATTCTTGCTTATAGAACTGAGACTATAATATGTCCATTTCTATATTTTTTGTGTGCTTTATTCAGGTTATCTCCATTTTATTTTATTTATTTTTTTGATTTCGTTAACTTAACACAAAGTATACCCTATTATTTTGAACATCAAAAGACAGTTGAAAAGTAAGGGGGATAAACACGTGTTAAGTCGTTTAACCAATAGGGACAAAAGAACAAGCTTGAACAAGATGATGGTCACAAGAAAGTGGTGTGGTACCTCAGGCGGCAAAAGATTAAATGAGAATAAATTTCCAAACATTTGGAAAGGGTGGAATGCTAGAACAATAATTAATTAGAATTTTTCAAAATAGGGAATAATTCTTAAAAATTAAGCTCCGTATGTGAAGAGTATAGTGGTAGTAGATAACGCAAATATATGTTTCGAATTCAATCGAATTTTCGATCAATCCTGATTTGACACATTTTTCATGTTTTTTTAAAATCAAAATTTAAGGATACCTTTATTTTGCTAAATATACTCAAGACCAAGCTGATATGAAATTTTATACATGTCTTGTTAGTGTTTGTTAAATTTTTGAAACAGCTAGGTTAATTAACAAATTTCTTGTCAGCGCAGTCATGCATAGGTTGAACTAACTAAATCTACCCTAATTTGACATAAAAAAACATTAAAGATATGCCAAAAATCAGAATATCAAATGATTGCCCATCGCCTTACAAAAATGAAATTTTAATCAAGATAGAGTTTTCTTCTGATAAAATCCTTCAATACCTTTTTCTTCATCTACCGATTTTGATTTTTTGAAATCATTCAATATTTTGAAAAATTTTAATAATTTAATTAATGATTTTTCAAGAATTCCAACTTCTCTCTGTGTTTGGAAATCTAACTAACTCCCTGGTATTACAGTCCATGTTGGACCATGGCTTCACTAACAATATTTCTCCACAGTTGCCTGCCTCTAGCTCTTTGTTTCCAGTTTCGGACCTTTAAAATTTTCCCCACCTCGTCTAACCATCTCTTGGTCGGCCTTCCTCTTTTCCTTTGGCCCTGCCCCTTGAATATCTTCTTAGTGCTTCTGTTTTCCTCCATTCTCTGAAAGTGTCCTAGCCATATATGGCAACGTTACTTTTAAAAAGTAACGAGTAAAAGTACAAGTATTTTTAAAAAAAGTAACGAGTTTAAAGTTCTTATTTTGAAAAGTAACGAGTAAAAAGTACAAGTAAAAGTACAGGTACTAAACAAAAAAAGTAACGATTTAAAAGTACATTTCTAGGAAATCGAAAATTGAAAATTACCTAAACTTTTATTGAATAATATTCTTATGTTCTTTAATGTTTTTGCGAAATTGTTGTTATTTATTTAATTATTTTTAATTTTGAAAGTTATGGACATTAATTTATTTTTAAATTCGGAAGAATATTATAATATAATTTTATAATATAATCGTATAATATAATTTTAAAATCAAATATAATTTTAATATCAAACTTTTTATGGATTTGCACGAAAAAGAAATTTTATCTATTGATTTTAATTTTTAGTTTATTATTTTTATTTATTTAAATTACCATTGATTTAAAATTGTTTTACTCTATAGAAACGCGTTTTAAAAGCACAAACATAAACAAAGCAAACACGGGGTTTCAGATAGCTTTGTGATCTTTGAGCTAGTAAAAAATAATTGAATGTGCAGTATAAGTTGAAACAGAACAGTCTACAGTTTTATTTGTAACAATGGCTAATGCTGAAGTCATGCGAGAAAATCATTTTCCGAACATTTCTGCCTAACGGAATAATTAAAATTTGTAAACGAATTTTAGTATCAGCGGCTAAATTAATACCTTCGAGTTTTCAAGAGTTAAAATAGTAATTATAATAGTTTTCAATAGCACAAATAGTTCTGAAGTTCTTAGAGATTTGACTGGGCGTTGTTTGACAAGGTCGGGCATAAACATAATTTTAGTAAAAAATGTACTAGGTAAAAATGTATTTAGTAAAAAATGTATTAAGACAAAAATGTATTATTAGTGAGTTCAAAAAGAAAATTGAAAAACGTAATAACAAAATCCAACATTTTTTATTTAAAATGTATTAAATAAATGCATAAAACTCGAAAATGAATGAAAATAACTTGCTAATTAATATTTTTATTCATTTTGCAAAATAATTGCATTTCGAAAGTGGTGTCACTGAGTCTGCTGCGAGAATTTCTCAGAACGTGCTTAGCCACGCTGAATAAGCGCTCCACGGGAGCACTAGAAGGTACTGCAGTATTATATTTCACATATAATTTTTTTACGATTGGATATCGATTCAAAATTGATATGCTTTCCGTTTCGACATTTGAGCTCATGTATGCCATAAATTCTTCTGTCGCTGGTGATTGGCATGATGTTTTCAGCTTTAGAAAATTTAAAATCCCTGGTTTTTTTCTGTTACGTCGTCTTTTCCTTTTCAGGAATGACAATTTTAAAAGGTCAAGGTATTTAAACACGAAGTTAGCTGTTAATGCATATATATTGCATATTAATTTTATAAATAAAAAAAACATAAGCATTTTCTTTAATTTAATTTTTATTTTATTTTTAGAAAGCTTACAGAGTTTTAGAAAAAAGTAACGATTTCATTCGACATTTCCGTTACAAATACTTGTACTTTTTCCCTAAAAAAGTAACGAAAGTACAAGTAAAAGTACTAAATTTAAAAAGTAACGAAGTTCAAGTAAAAGTACGTACTTTTTACTTGTACCGGCGGTACAAGTAACGAAAGTAAAAGTACTGCCATATATGGTTCTAGTCATTCTCTTTGCTTTTACATAATTGAGTATTTATTTTTCTTTAAATAGTCTTGAAATTTCGAAATTGTATCGTCTTCTCCACAGATCGCCCTCTTTGACAGGTCCAAAAATAGTTCTAAGAATTTTTCTTTACTAGGTAATCAACATTTTTTTCTTGTTTCTCGGTTGGAGTCCATGTCTCTGATCCATAGATAACGGTTGGTCTGATTATAGTTTTATAAACCTGAAGCTTTGTTTTCCTCGTTATTACTTTTGATGGTAGTAATCTCTTAAATATAAAGAAACTGCGATTTCCAGCATTTAGTCTTTGCTTAATCTCTGGCATAATATCATTGCTTGGAAATCTAATCAGGTTTAATTTTTCGCATCCTATATTTCCAGCCAAATCTGCTACCTGTTTCTTTTCATCCTTCCTATTATTATCATCTCCAAGCTTGTTCCTTTGTTCTTATTGGTTAAGCCCCTTTGCACACATTTCTTTCCTTACTTTTCAACTGCAATTTGGTGTTTAGACATTGAAAAAGGCTCTTGTTTAGAGTAACAAAACTATAGCATGTCCGTACTTTATTCGTGCTTTATTAACGTTATTTTTTGCCCATGTTTTTTTCTTTATTTTAAAGCGAAATTTAGTTAGAAAATACTTTTGTACCAGAACGTTTACGAACCAGAAACCTTTTCCTAAAAAAATATTGGAACATTTTGCACCAAATTTGGAAAAGAAATATTAAATCATTTTTTTTTAAATTTAATTTTAGTACAAATTAAAAACAACATTGATTCATTTTACTTTTAAAAGCATTGTTCGCAAATCACTCACTAAAAACTCCGATTTAGATAGAAATTTGCATGCAAAGAATATTCTTCAAAATTGTACTATTTTACTTTCAATTATTTTAGCGGAATGTGAAAAAATGTATTGTGCTTATGGTGCTTTGTGTGTTGTTGACAAACGAACGCAGCGAGCCCACTGTAGATGTCAGGAAACATGTACGGACGTGTTTGCACCAGTATGTGGGAGTGACAGTGTTACATACTCCAGTGACTGTCAGCTGAGAATGGCATCATGCACTAAACAGAAAAGAATTTTTACTAAGCACCAAGGACCTTGTGGTAAATTACCCATTACATTTTGTTTCGACATTTTTTTTTTACTTAGTTATATTTAACTTTCATTGATGTCGTTTCAGACGCATACATCTTAATTTTTGCTAGAGCTCTTGGGACATTGTTACAGTTAAACCCCGCTATAGTGAACCTTCAAGGGACCAAAATTTCGATTCACCATAACCGGCAGTTCACTATATTCGTACTGCAAGCAATTTTAGATAATTTTTCAGAACTGCTCTCTTTTATTACATATTATTTAAATAAATGGCCCATAAAAAGAAGTACAAAAATGTTTAAACAACAAAATGTAGTCACAAAAAATGTGTGAACTTTTATTTTATATTACTGTTTGTCTTTGAGTACAAAAAATTTTATTGAAAGTCTTTATTTAGGGATGTGAAACTGAGATAGAAGAAGCAAACAAGACAAAATGTATATGGCTACATTCTACTCAATAGATGGTTTTAAAAATCGGTATATGTACTTTATATAGAAATTTCAAAATTATCAAAAAAATGAAGAAAAAAATCAGTCGAAGACAGAAAAAAGTTCATAATATGCAATTTCCTCTCTTCCACAAAAAATAATATTATATGTGGAAAGCAAGGCACAGGAGCGAACATTTCGTTCACTGTATCCGGGAGTTCGCTAAAAAGTATGTTCACTATAACGGGGTTTGACTGTATAATAAGAATTTTTTTCTTCCGAAAGTGGATTCTTATTGCTCCTTATTATTACCTTTACTCAAGTACTTGAAGTATTATTTCAATTTTCATTTTATAGGGACACAATATGCCGAGATATCTTAATAGTACAATACCCCATAACATTGAGCAGCAAAAAGCTCAGTGATAAAAGAATTGAGCGGTCATTACAAAAAACTGAGGTTCGATCACCGGAGGCAGTTTGAAGCTCATTTAAATCAGATCGGTGGGTATCAGCTGTAGCAAATAAAGGTGGCCGCTACGTAATGCTGACCACATTGCTACCATCATGCTGTTAGTCGCGAAATTGTGGAACCTTAATCTCCATGACCCCTTGGCTAACAATAGGTTGTTACTAAAATGCATTGCATTTCACTCCGAAGCATCCTAAATCGAACTCTTAAAACTTTTCACCAAAACCGATGTCCTGTAGCATTTAAAAAATGTGCCTTATCATTATATCGTTCTAATTTCGTCAAATATTAAAATATTGTAGTTAGTGACTGTTTTTATTTTCGTTGGATACGTTTATCACTTAATACTTCATTAAAAAGCAAATCTCATAATGTTTCGGCTAACACAAGTCTGCGACTGACTCAAAAAGGAATTACGAAAAATAATGTAGACCTTTTAATTCAAAAAGAGTAACCTGTCTGTAACTATCACTACCTATTAACAGCTATAATATATTCGTTTATGTTTTAAACTGAACATATATGCTACAGCCAATAACTTATTATTCTAAGAATAGGACATTTTATGGTTATCCTATTAGTCTAAAAAAACACATTTTAATTCTATCTTTTAATTACTAACTTGCGACTATCACTCCTGTTAACAGCTTTAATATATGTATTTACATAAGATGAATTTTATGACCAAACGTTTATGATACATAGCTTATTAGCCAAATACTTATACACTGTTTAAATAAAACTCAATAGCATTTTATCAATATCCTATATGCCTAAAAATAAAAACACATTTCATTTTTATCTAATAATTTCGAAAAAGTAACCTGTCAGTACTCAGAACCTGTCAGTAACCTGTGACTACGCATTATCAGCTACAATATTTACGCACAAGAAAATTCACAATTAAACATGCTAGCTACAATCAATAACCTATTAGCCTAAAAAAATAAATTAATTAAAGTAATTGTTTGAAATAAATTGTATTTTTATTTATTTTTTAATTTTCATAGACCTTAAAGATCCCTGCCAAGAGAAAGAATGTCATTTTGGAGCACAGTGCCAACCATCTCTAGACGGCAGAACCGCAGAATGCATATGCCCAGAGAAATGTGCCGTATACGGCGATAGTCGATCAAGGCCAGTATGTGGTACCGATGGTAAAGACTACCTTAATGTGTGTGAACTACGAAGAACATCTTGCCTCGAAATGAGAGAGATCAAAGTGCGATACAAGGGACAGTGTGGTAAGAAATAGAATAACTAGAGCAGCGTAACGTGAATAGAATAAATAACATTCACTTTTAGAAAGTTAGACTGAAAAATGGAGCTATTCTGCTTAGTTCGTATCGTGGCTCCAAAATACTTTTCAAAATGTTCATAGACTTTATTTCATAACGTTTTAGAAGCAGATTTCGTATTAAACTTGACGTTCATGACAAAATATGTCTATAATTATCTGGAATAAAAGCGTAATGCGGAGTTTAAAGTTTAAATTTTTAAAATTAGTTAGAAATTTCGTCAACGGATGGTGATGTTAACTTGAAAAATTTTTTAAGACTTAATATTCACAAGATGGCAAAATGACCACGATAACAAAAATTATATTACGATAAGACAACAAAATACAAAAATATTTCAGTTTATTATCATATTACATGCAGCTGAAAATATTATTTCTCAGTTTTAACACCTAATAGTATCGCCTTTTACGTAACTAATTTTGAAATTAGGGGAGACCAAATTCCTTGTTTCTTAAACAGAACTACAAACTATTTATTTATATTCCCTTCATATTTTTATATTGATTTTTCAAAGCGATCCATTTTCGGCTTATTGAAGTAACATAAACCAATTTTGTTCCTTTTAGTAAAGTGTGGGGAAAGTACCTATCGACAATGTCAACCTTCATCTCTGAAAAGGTACCCCACCATAGTCCACATAGAGTTAACATGTCTTATCTACTCGTGAATTGGAATTATACTTTTGTAGTGGTAGATAGACTACAGTACTCCTCTACCAGAATTATATCTGTGATAGAATTCAAGGAATGGATACCACTAGTGAATTCAAAGCCGGTAGAACTGTATTAAGATCACCGTAATTCTTGAATGCTGATTGTGAGAGCTGTATTAAGTACACGGTCGTGGTCGCTCCTGTGTTGCCTTTAGCAGTCGAGTGCGTACGTTGTGTGTGATCGAGACTGAGAAGCATCAGCGTGAGGAGGACAATGTCATGGTCACAAGTAGCAAGTCAACTGTTCAATGGAGACCGTCCATCGAAGTAGGCGTGTTCAGATCGAAGTGGACGTTGCTATCAAGATAGGTGTGTTCAGATCGAAGTGGACGTTACTATCAAGATAGGCGTGTTCAGATCGAAGTGGGAGTTTCTGTCAAGGTAGGCATGTTCACATCACGTCCGAAGGTCACCAATGTGGGGAAGTAGTTTAGGACAGTGTCAACCTTCATTTATGAAAAGGTACCCCAACATTGAATCGAATTATCATGTCTTATATACAAGTGACTTGGAATTAATTTTTTATAGTGGTAGATACTCTACATAAAATAACAAATATTTTTACAGATTTGTACAATATTTTAAGAAAAGTACATTTCTCTTCTATGAGCTGCTATTTAAAATAACTTTTTTCTTACAGATCCTTGCCAAAATATAAAGTGTCCTACTTACCAGATGTGCCAACTCGATGACAACAGAAACCCAACTTGCCGTTGCAATGATGTTTGCAATCCTGAATTCCGGCCAGTATGCGGATCTGACGGAAAAACTTACAACAACGAATGCATTATGAGGGTGGAAGCTTGCAAAACACATAAAAGCATTAGAGTTATATATTCCGGGGACTGCAATATAGGTTCTTAATTCTTCTATGCATTTCAGAATGCGTCTTTTAACTTTGCAATTCGATTGACTCTACTATTTCTAAATTGAGTTTTACTCTACAAACTCTGGCGATTATTAGACGCACTATAAGATTCAACGTAAAATCTTAACTATCAGGTGATACTCTATAGCTTTATTGTTTTAACGCCACTGAAACCGAATTACATTTGTTTATTGCTCGTGTATCAATTGGTTAGCATTGTAATGCAAAACATTAAAAATAAATACAAATAGGAAGTATATAAAAAGTCTCCTGAATAGAAACCCATTACATGTATGTTTAGATATTAAAGTATTGCATATAAACTCGAGCATGACATGTCATTATTAAAAGACTACAGTAAGTCTAATAATTTGGTCTAATTATTATAATGTACTAATATAATACCGGATATAATAAATATTCTATACTTATATATCGTCTAATTTATTCAATTATCAAATTTATATTGCACATCGTCCATTTTAGCCCATTAATACATGAGCGTAAGCAAGTGCAAACCGGTTTTAGTCGCGTGAAAATAACAAAGCTGTATAGTATCACCTGATAATTACTATTTTAAATAGAATCTTATAGCACGTCTAATAATTTGGCCAAGGACTGTGTTCCCCAGCATTAATAATGGAATTCGTTACTGTACCAAACTGGCCGTCTGCCTTGTGACATACACATTATTTTACACGTTCTCAGAAATATTTCGAAACCACCATGATTCCATTTACTCTGAAAATTATATTTCTTTAGACTGTTAAGATATTTGTAGGACATAATAATATAAGCATGTCTTTTGGTCATTTTTTGAAAGCTTAGTGTTCGAATTAAACTTCAATAATACTCATGTTTTTATATGCATTTTATACGCTTTTTACAGTCGTCTTTTTGAAGTAAAGATCTGTGCAATGCTTATCAATGCTTATTGTTAATTTGCAATTTTTTAAGTAAAAAGCATCTCTTAGTTTTAGTTTTAATAACTTTTGAATAAATAAATCTGCATTTGACATTCATTTGCTACAAAAAAAAAATTTCATTTTATAGTATAGATCTCTACTTAAAAGTAAAATAATATTTTTTCTAAAGTATATGAACTTTGGAAATCAATTAAACATTCAGTTTTTTTTTTAAAGTTAAGCTTTCTTCAATTTTTTTAAATATATGTTGTCGAAAATTATTGTATAATGTTGCTTATGTTTTAGGAATAAATCCTTGTGACTTGATTAGATGCGGACCAGGTCAAGAATGTGATATCGATAAATTTGGGGTCGCGTCTTGCCAATGTCCACCAACATGTGAATCAAAAGTGCATCCAATCTGTGGATCAAACGGCAGGACATTTGACAATGATTGCGAACTCAAAAGACAATCCTGTCTTCTGAGACAAGAACTTACAATCATTCACACAGGAGAATGTGGTATGTTGTTTTTTTTAAAAATAGCATTGAAATTTAATAAAAACATATTTGTAATCAGTAAACGTGAAAATATGCTTAGTTTTTTCCCCTGATGATCTAAAATAGCCTGTTTTTGAAAAAGTTGCTTTACAACTAATGATTTCTCATTATTTCATTTTAATAATAAAAATAAATATACGAATTTGATTCATAGACATCGTTAAGATCCATATTCCCTGAGGTGATGAAGTACATCAATTCGCTAATTTGTATACGTCACTTCTGTAGATTATTATTTGGTGAAGGTTGTGGTTTGAAATTCGTATCAAAATTCTACATTAAAATAATTGAATACGATTGCCGTTGTAGTAGGTCATTAAGGCACTGGGGATGCGATTGTTCTCGTTTTCAAGTGGCGCCATCTATGGCCAAGAATTTGACTTCTGCCTCACCCATTCGTCACACCCGTTTATGGGGTGGACCCATTCATGGACCCATTGATTCATCCATTGATTCATCCACAGATCGTAATTTTGACCTGAACCAGAGAACGATCATTCTCCAATCCAGTACCTCCTGAGGTATAATTTGTTTTTGGAACATGGATGACTTTGCAACTCTACAGATTTAGCGTGTAGCAGTCATCATTTACGACACAAGGAGTCTTCGGCCGGCTGGATTCGAACTCCCGTACTCACGAGCGTGAGTTCAACTCCCTACCAGCCAGGCTATTCCGGTCCAAAAATACGATGCTAAAATATTAATTTAAAAAGTAATTATCTTAAAGTCTATATTGTACTCCATTGAACTATATTACCGGGCTTTATAAACTTGATTTGATTTAGAGACACTATAGTAACATTAACTGAAACATTGTCCTATCTAATTATCTCAATATACTATATTATCGTTCTTAAATTTTATTACGCGATATTATTTTTAACTTACTATACTACAATAATATCATTTCGACTATCGAATGTTACTACAATGCCAAGAATATGGTTAAATTTAATTTTTAATAGAATTGCAGCAAGTTTGCACCATAACATGGTTCAAAGTATCAATATTATGAACCGACTGAGTGTATAGAAAAATCAAGAAAGTCTACCTTTATGAAAAATTTACCCTATTTAGCTCAATTTTTTTTTCTTTTGTTATTACTTTAGCTTATTTTAATTTTGAAACTAAGTTATTCTTATTATAGACTCTAAAGTATTAATTATTTTTTCTCCCGAATTAAAAGGAGAGCATGGTCCTTGCCATACTCATCATTGCTCTTATGGAGCAATGTGTGTTGTAAAAAATGGTCAAGCGGTTTGTGAATGTCCAACATGTGCTGAAGAATTTGAACCGGTTTGTGGAACGGACGGCATTTCATACACAAATGCTTGCAAACTTAAAAGAGAGGCTTGTGAACAAAAAACAGATATTATAGTCTCTCATGAAGGACTTTGTAGTGAGTAGAGTTTTTTTTTTAAATTATATTTTTGCTTGATTTAAAACTTCCTCAAATCGAAAGGTGTTAAAACCTTGATATGAATACTCTGTCGTTGAAACTTATTTGAATGTATTTTATTTTTAATTCAGTTTTAATGGTGATACTGAGTGGAAGAAAGTTTCAAGTGCGATTGGTAATTAACACTCAACAAGTTAACTTTAAAATCATGCCTTACGGTAACCCCAAGACTGTAAGCGCTTTTCGGCAATTAATTAAAATGAGTATTAGGGATAGTTAAAATTTGCCAGTTAGAAGTATAGACTAGACAAAATTTTTATTTCCGATTGCAAACATATTTATGGATCAAAATAAAACTGTATATTTATGACTCAATCTTATTCCAAATATTTATGGTTCAACTTAATATCATACATTTATGACTTAATCGAGTACTATACATTTAGGTAAGGACATGAATGTTTGACTCAATCTAATTCAATACATTTATGACGAACTTTTATCATATATTTATATCGCAACCTAATACCAAATATTTATGACTCAACCTATTGAGTCACTCTTGAACCATGAATTGCTGCTGAGTCATAAATGTAAGAATTTATATCATATTTTACGACTCAACTTTACATCATATATTTATAAGGCTATTTAATATTACCTTGCACAGCTTCATAAATAATCTGTATTGCTCTTTCTCTATAAGAGAATAAATCAAATTTTTAATTAATATAACTTTATTGTGTAATTATAACATTATAAATATAAAATTATGAATAAATTAAAAGAAATAATGGAAAACGTATTTAATACTTCACAGAATGTTTCAAAATTAGATGAAAATTTTCCCGATAAAAAGATTTGGAATACATCTGCTAGATATACGGGGGAAGATATTAAACTTTAGATAAAAAGAGTTCCAGTGTGTATCAGATAAAGGCCATAAAAAGTCATAATATTTTTTGATTTATTTAAATACAAGATAAAGACATCTCTTTCTTTAATTAATTGCACATGCAGTACCTGTACAGCCGGTATTGTACAGTACATGTTACAACCTCTTAATGATCTAGCGTCCTGCAATCGCAATTGTTTCGGACTGAACTTAATATATATCAAATTCTGTTAATTCATATCAAATTAACAGAACAGGTTTAACAGAATCTCATATAATCTAATTCTATTGTAAATATAACATTTAAGAAATACCATATACTTGAGACTCAACCTAATACCATATATTTATAGCTCAATCTATTACTATGAAGCTCAACTTTATACCATACATTTATGAATATTCCTAATACCATATATTTAAGACTCAATATCATGCAATAATGATTTAACCTAATATTTTGCATAGCTCAGTTAATTAACATTATTGCTCTCCGTGGTGAGAATAAACGAACAAATCAAATTTACAAAAGTATTAACATATTTCTAAAGTTATTAACCGCTTCCCTTACCAATTTTTTTTAAGAAAAAAAACTCAAAAAATCAACATATATTTTTATTTCATTAATAAATACAAGGATCTAAAACAAAACATAATACACAAGTTCTAAGTTGAAATTTTAATTTTTTCTCGTGTAAAAAATATTTAATTTACCATCAGTTTACTGTCCCAAATTATCTCGGGCAAATGAAAAAAGTTAAATATTAGTCTGTGTATGTGTTCACTTATTCATAATCTGAAAAATCATCTGCACCACTTTCACTTTCGCTCGTGAACGCCATTTTGTTTCTCTTTTTTTCTATGTCAATTCATCAACCCTCGTTTATACAATTGTATAAAACACGTTTGCAGTCCCACAAACTGCAAAACTCCCAAACAAAAATTGGTCAACTTCCAATCAAAGCAGATTATTATTATTGTTTTCTGCTTTGCTTCCGGCCGAATAAAAACGTGATAAAACAAAACGTATTGACGAATTCTGCCATGATCGAGTTTACTCGTCATAATAAATATCTGCAATATATACATACCCGTGTTAACTCGGGATAATCAGGGAAGCGGTTAATAATTTATCGAATGAATTGCTTCAAAGGTAATTAACAGCTTATTTTCCCTACAAGAAAACTCAGAAAATACTCTCCAGTTAAAGAGAAAAAATATTATGTTAATCATTAGATAAGGGAAATTCGAGTGTGTAATGGATAAATGCCATAAAAAAGACTTAATATCTTCCATCTTCTTAAATAGAATACAAAAGTATCTCTCTCACTTTAAATTGATTTAGTGTATGACCTCCACACCCCTCCTCTTTTAGATACCTGTTACGCCCAACAGTGCGACTTTTATGCTGTCTGTGAAAGCTTTGGAATGGGTGAAACTCGATGTGTTTGTCCAGAGGTTTGCATTAAGGTAAGACATTCACAGGAACTCATAAAAAAATTTTTCTCAATGCTTCTTTTATGAGTTCCAATCAACGAAAAACTGCTTAGTATTTATCTTCAACAGCCTCCGTATAGATTCTTCGTCTTTTATATGACCATTTTATATCTTATCAAAGCTTTTCTATTTCTTTTTTTAAAGATAGATTGACGGCCATTATTTTTGGAGGTCTAGATACGGCGTTTTACTCGTATCGTGAGATAAGGGCATTTAAAGTGAGATTACTGTTGAAAGCAGTTATTTTTTCAGTCAATATTTCAGAATTTGTCAGCGTAGTGACAGTTTTCTATGACAGGGAAAAAGAATTCGGTTTTATTTGTTACAGATTGAAGAAAAACAGCATTGATTTGCTAGAATTTGTCATTTTTGCCGGAATTCTGGAAAAGAGTGAATTGCTAGAATTTGTCACAATCGCCAGAATTCCGGAAAACAGTGATTTGCTGGATTTTGTCACAATTGCTCGAATTCTGGAAAACAGTGATTTGCTGGATTTTTTCACGATAGCCCGAATTCTGGAAAACAGTGATTTGCTGGATTTTATCACAACTACCAGAATTCTGGAAAACAGTGATTTGCTAGAATTTGTTAAATGCTTTGCGATCAATATTTGTTTGCGTACTTGTCTTTCTTCAGATTTATAAATGCAAATTACAAATCTTTTGAATAAACTAAATCATTGATAATAATTTTTAACGTTAAATCATATCGAAAAAAAATGCTTAAATTCATTTGGTTGGACAACATTAGAAAAGTTTCACGCGAGTAAGGTGATTTAGAATCACCACCCTTGATACATATTTTAAGAATACTTGTCAAAAAGTAATGAAAAACTTTTAACGTTTGGAACGAAAATTAATATTTAAATAAATAAGAAGGCACAAATTCTATAGATACCTTAAATAAATAATCCCAAAAGACTGAAATATATATTTTTCGATATGAAATTTATTTTATCCTCATGAATATCAATATCTGATAAATCATTAATTAAGAGGGCTGTATTAGCAGTATAAAAACAAGTTTGACTCTCCTACTGTTTGGAGTTCATCTTTATACTCTTTCCCGTAATCAAACAGACTTTGATGTTTATAGTTCTGTCTTTCTTAAAAATTCATTAGATTTCGATAGTGTTATTACTTTTTTTTAGCTTACACTTATTTACAACCCCTAAAGTATGTACTTTCTTAAATTCATTTTGGACAAAGGTTTCACAAAGGACAAGGGACAAAGTCAATTTGAATTACAGGAACTGCAATTTGTTGCAGAAGTGGAAAGAAACATGCAAATGTGTTAGATAACAACCAATCACGGTTTCATGTCAAAAAATATGCCAATGAAACAGTAATATAAGAAACTAACAATGAAAAGGATTACCGAAGTTGCATATAAGTGCCAGTGACAGGCGTTTAAAATATCATTTAATTTTTCTTCGAACTAAATTTGCTTCTAGGACTCCCAGAAGACGAATGAAAGATTCTGAGCCAGAGTCGAACGCATTTAAGCAGGATGACCTATCACATATGTTGTTATTTTATTCGGTCCCGCAGAGGACTGATCGTAAAGTAACGGGTTCCCAGTAGAACACCGAAGTCAAGCATCACTGACTGCGGGCAGTAAACGGGCGGGTGACCATTTTGATCAGCTTGCATAGGGACTGAGGGTGAGCAGCATCGGTTCTCGTTAAACTGTTCTACCGTAAAGCGCTCGACTTCGCTCGTAGGTCATCGAGCTACCGAAGCGGGGGTGTCATCCCCTCTGCAATGGATCAAAATTGTGATGGATCATCCCCAGGGATGTTTCCCTGACCATCACCAATAGCCCATGATGCAGCACTTGTTCGACATTATTGAACTACATCTACAACCTAATTCTATATGCACTTTGATATATTAAATCTGCAAAAATATTAACTCATTCCTGTATTAAATTCATGCTAACATTCGTAGGAGCTTACTAACTCTAAAAGTTTTACTTTATGTATATGTGTAACATTAATAAATAAAAATTTGTGAAAGAATTAATTGCAACCAATTCGATTAAAATTTTCTATATTATATATATATATCCATTATGACCACCCTCCATCTATAACAATGAACTCGCCCAGGTTTTCATGGTTTCTCGCCCAGGAACAATGTTTTCATGGGGCACATTAGGACCCATAATCCTCATAGAACAATTCCTGACGTCTGTAAGCTACTTGAACATAGTTGCAGACCAGGTTAATGGCAACAGTTTTTCCTGCGGGGGATGGTGTTTACCAACAGGATAATGCACCATGTCATAAGGGTGAATAGTCGAGGAACATTCCATTGACTTTCAAGTAATGTCTTGGCCCCCAAAGTCACCTGACCTTAATCCAATAGAGCATTTGTGGTCCTACTTGGAAAACCAAATTTGTGCTGTCACGCTACCCCCTCGCAATGTGAGGGAATTGCAGTTGATGGGGGAATTGCAGGACCAGTTGGTGAGCACTTTGTACCAGATACCTCAGACTACCTATCAGCACCTTGTGAAATCAATTCCACGGCGGGTGCTAGCAGTTTTGAGGGCTAAAGGTGGTCCTACATGTTATTAGCAGGGTGGTCATAATGTAATGGCTCTTCGGTGTAT